GTTAAGGGGGCGCAGGTCATCGATCCCTTAACGCTAGGAGGGCCAAAGGAGGCTCTCTTAGCGTTGTGTGGGTGGAGGCTTCAGGAGGACTTGTGGTGGAGGGTTTTTTGTATCGTGTGGTTGGGTGGTTGTTCGCCTCGTGTGGTTGAGTGTTTTTTGTCTCGGTGGTGAGTGTTCTCCTCGTGTGGTTGAGTGGTTCTGCTCGTGTGGTTGAGTGGTTGTTCGATCGGTTGGTTGTTCGCCTCGTGTGGCCTCGTGTGGTGAGTGTTTGTTCGTGTGGTTGAGTGGTTTTGGTCGTTCTCCTCGTGTGGTTGAGTGTTTTTTTTGTCTCGTGTGGTTGAGGTTGTTCGCCTCGTGTTGTGGTTTTCGGTAGGATTTGAGCTTTTCAGGCTTATTTACGAAACGTGGGGTTGTGGTTGAGTGGTTCTTCGTCTCGTGTGGTTGTTACGGTTTCTTGTGGTTGCGGGGGTGGATGTAGGAGTGTGTTGGGTTGTGGGTGGTAGGGGGGAGGTATGGATTAGGTGTAGGCGTGAGTGTGTGATAGTGGGTGTGTTCTTCATGGAATATTTGTTCGTGTGTGTTTGTGTATGTGTGTATCTGGTGTGTATGTGTGTGTGTGTATGTGTGTGTGTATTTATATGCAAACGTATGCGTATGTATGTGTTTGTAAATGTAAGTATATACACGTAACTGTCCACGTCTTCGAGGTGTTTTTATATCTAAAATCCCTACCTTAAAAAAAAAAAAAAAAAAAAAAAAAACACAGGACGGGTTGGTTGCGCAACTCCCGCCATGTTGAATATCATCCTACCTTACCCCACCAACAGCTCTGCCAATTTGGACTCGATAAACGGTCTATATGGACGAGATGGATTAGTACACATCTGACTTCAAGTTGTCTGTGTTATTCTGTGAGTAGGCAACTGCGCTGTTGAGCAATGGGGCTTTGCAACACGACGAATACTGGCCGTGTGCGAAGTCAGTGTTAAGGAAAGGTTTGGTTGAAGCAGACTATACTGAAAAAGAAATGAGAATGAATATCTTCACGATGCGGTTTCGCATTTTCTTCGTTGGAAATGCATATTGAATCGGTTAAATGCGTTAATTGTATTGTGAAGATATTCATAGAAGCAGACTATACTGAAAAAGAAATGAGAATGAATACCTTCACGATACAAGAGATGTATTTAACGGTTTCGATTTATCTTCGTTGGAAATGCATATTCGAATCGGTTAAATGCGTTAATTGTATTGTGAAGATATTCATAATGATTCATACCTTTTTTCCCTTCTTAGCAATGATTACTGTTTAGATTATTATAGTCTTGTGTACATACTGATACTAATGAGCATTAGTGTGGAGCAATTGCATTTTCATTGTGGTACAGATTGTTCTGGTTATAAGAGCGTATTAAGGGTCGATAAACATATAATTTACAGGCTATCTATGGTAATTAGTGTGGTATAATCGTTTAATTTTGATACTTGATTTTATGTACTTTTTATCATTTTTTTCTTTTTTTGACGTAATATGATGGCCATCTGATAGAGCTTAATGCATATTATCGCTAGATATTCGTTTACAAGATAATTGTCTTTAACTAGTTGGATTTTATTGATATGCTTGATGAAAGATAATGCATCCGCATTTTCACATTTTACATTTTGATATACAAAATACCGATTGAAATGTGTTATACTCTTTCGAATGATCCTTTTTGTTTTCGTATATCTACTACTTATTGTTCATAGCTATTGTAGTGGTTACAGTCTGTTATGAATATAATATGATTGAATATGTAACCTATCCTATGAAAGCAAAATTAAATGCTTGCTTATTTTAGTTACGATATAAACATATTTTCAGCAATCCTTACATATACCTCGACCTAATAGTCTATCACTTAAAATGTTTATAGCACAGAATCACGTCATGGAAATCAGATCCCTTCTCGACAGCACAGAGAAGGAATTGAACACTATAAAATAAACCTGGAGTGGAATCTGACCATCTTCAAATAGCTGTGTGACCGCAACTTCCTCAAACAAACCTGACCACCAAGTTCATGAACCTCTCTACTTCCTGCTTATACCACATCTCCGGCACGCTTATAGGTGGTGTTGATAGGGAATTTCCACCATATATGCCACGCCGAGAATGTCCATGGCAAAGATCTCGATCGAATGGACGCTTTCCACGCATCCCGGCTGTTGTACACAGACCACGTTTTCCTCCTTCGAACGATGTACATGACGTGAACGATAAACGGGAGACGGAAATAAACTTCTACCCTACACATCACCCAAAATGATCAAACACTTAACCTAACACATCACACCAACGTCCTCTCTCTCAAAAATAAACACCGATTCTAAAACAGTAAAAAACACACACGCGATGCATTTTAACCCAGCCACCCACCCCAGCGCGCGTGCAGATCCCCCCCCCACACACCACCACCACCACCGCCGCCTCCTGTGACACCAGCTCGCGACTCACCGTGGATCGGCCCATGTCTTAACCTTGGGGAGACTGAGCTCTGACTGGGGCGTTCGCGAGGGCCTGACAGTCGGTCTACCTCCGCGCCTTCGCTGGCTTGCCATGTCTCTGCACTGAGGCTCACTGAGAATTCGGTAATGGGGAGGGTAATTAGGGTCTAATTGATTCCACATGGATGGTGAATTTTTCGAAGGAGGGAGAGGAAATGTTGGTGTGATAGAAATTTGGAAAGATAGAAAAAGAAAGGGTGTATAAATCTAACAATGTAATCTTACAATGGTATTTTGATCATTGCTGGGATGTGTACTCTTGGAGAAAGCGCTTGGCTAAGTTAAAGAGAATGGTTTTATGGTGGGTTTCATACTTTCTTTGTTGATAGAAGGATAGGTCCCGAAAACAGGTTTTAAACACTCTAAAGTATGCCAGACATTGTCTCATGGGGTCAACCTGCAGTAGCCAAAAATATATTGCACACACATCGAATTTCACTTACGGAGTTAATAAACACCATACAGAGATCGCCATTGCACACATCGAATTTCACTTACCAGATTAATAAACACCATACCCAGATCGCCAAACAAACTAGATTTCACCCACCTTATACAATACCATACATAGGTTCCATAATAAAGAAAAAAAGAAAAGAAAAAGCCGATTAAAACGGGGAAGTCCAGACACAGAAAGGCTTAAAACCACGATCAGTTAAACTCGGCAACATCACCTCCCCCCCCCCCCCCCCCAACTTCCCAGGAGATTTTAACTACACATCAGATAGTTATCCAAGCGGCTATGTACGGGACTCCCATCCTCATCTTCAGGACTAATGGCGGGATCCCCCAAACCACTATAAATTCAGGGTCAAAACAAGGTCTCTATAAAAATTATCGTATACCGTAAGGATGGCATTTCCGCATTTTTTTCATTTGTTTATTCATTTTTTTTAGGCTTGAAAAAAGGAATTTCGAAGCGGATTTCCTGACGAGAGATGTACAGATACAAGTCTAGATAAATCTGTATTGGATATAAGGATGTATACAATGTCGAACAACACTGGGTGAAGTCTGTGTATTTACTGTTAGATTTTGGGATACGCATATGTTTAAGATTCTTTCTTTATTTGTGTGTGTGTCTCTCTCTTTCTCTTTCTATCTCTTCTTCTCTCTCTCTCTCTCTCCCTCTCTCCTGCACCCCCCTCTCTCTGTTACTCTTCTCTCTCTCCCTTCTCTCTCTTTTCTTCTCTGTCTCTGTTTCCTCTTCTCTTTCTCTTTTCTCTCTCTCCTCTGTTCCTCTTTCTCCTGTTTCTCTCTCTCCTCTCTTTCTTCCCTCTCTCTATTTGCCCTCCTTCTTTCTCCCCCCCTCTCTGCCATTTTGTTTTTGTATCTCCCTGTCTCTCTCTCTCTCTCTCTCTCTTTCTCGCTCCGTCTCTCCTCCCTTCCTCCTCTTCCTCCATCATTATCCCTAATCCCTTCATACTCTAACATTCCTGGAAAGTACCCCCCCCCCCGGCACACATAAGGGTTATTGTCCTTAGCTCCGGTCCTTGATTATACGCACGCTGCCACGGACACGCATACCTAAAACTCTATCTTCACTATTGAATGTCAAGTCATGGTATCTCGTGAATCAGTAGTACATGGGGTAAGGTCGTGTTGGCTTTGCGTGCAGCGTTGGTATCTGTGAGTCAAACAAAAGGTATCTTTTTGGATATAGACTTTTTTTGGATTAGACACACATACGCACGAACAGATATAATATATTTGTGTGTATTCATATACATACGCACACGCACGCACGCACACACACACACATACACATACACACATACACACACACACACACACACACGCACACACACACACACACACACATACTATATATATATTTGTTTGTGTGTATACATATATTGTTTATGGCGCGTGTGTGCGTGTCCTGCGTGCGTGTGGCGTGTGTACGTATATATATACACACATATTTTATGTATGTGTGTGTGTCTAAACAGCGGAAAGGGAGGGCAATAAAATCCCGGAGTGGAGAGGCGCCGGCAGCGGGAAGGACCGCAGTCGGCTTCCTTTGGCCCAAAAGCCGACTCGCCGATAAGCCCGAACTGGCTTCAGCGACCATCCTCAGACAGCCCGATTTTCTTTTTTCAGGGACAGCTGTTTTGTGCTATGACAGCTGTGTGACACGTAAGTGGAGAAAAGGAGAAAAGGGAAAGTGATAGGATGTATGGATAGATAGATGGTTAGGTAGACAGATAAATGTGTGGTGGTGTTTTGTGTGTTTTTGTTGTGCGTGTGTGTGTGGTGTGTGTGTGTGTGTGTGTGTGTGTGTGTGTGTGTGTGTGTGTGTGTGTGTGTGTGTGTGTGTGTGTGGTGTGAGTGTGTGAGTGAGTGAGTGAGTGAGTGAGTGTGTGTGTGTGTGTGTATGTATATGTATATGTATATGCATGCAATGTATGCACACATACACACACACATACACCCGTCACATATTTATTTCGCAAATACCCAAACTACTTACTAAATGGAAGATACCACATCCGCTGTCACACACGGGCCGCTCGTGACAATGACAAATTATGCCATTAATCCCCTTTGCTGCCTCTTGTTCCTCTGTCAAGGACACAAGCAGCAGCATCTTGGTGAATACATAAGAAGGATGGACAAAGAACCTTTAAGAGGGTCACAAGTTCCTCTTTTATGTTTGATAACGCTCGTGTTTACAAGGAAAACAAACTTAAGTGAACGACAATGCCTGTATGTAAAGTGTGAATATGTTTGTGTGTCTAAACGGGTAGTTAATCTATTTGGGTTTATCATATAGGTTGGTTTACACGTTTATGTACGTAACACAATGCTAAGATGGACGAACATGTTTTTTTCTTCAGTAGTAGTGTATTTGCGTGTGAAATAATCGAACAGTTCGCCAGTTTAACGTGTACTTGCTAATATAAACAAAACAAATTCGCATAATTCGTATTCCCTTCAAAGTTTTACAATCACTCTCCATACGCGTATATTCTCCTTATATATATACACTTTTTCAGTAGTAGTGTATTTGCCAGTTTAACGTGTACTTGCTAATATAAACAAAACAAATACGCATAATTCATATTCCCTTCAAAGTTTTACAATCACTCTCCATACGCGTATATCATCCTTATATATACACACATTTTCCATAAAATTCTATTGAAGAATTTACGAGCATAAACGAATTAGGAATCATTCACGAGAAAAGTTCTTTGGAAGCGAACACAATAGCGACCTAAAAAACAGATAGTCATCAGTACCCGCTCATCCTCTCGATCAGCTACATCCTCCTTCCCACACTCTTCTCAAAAAGAACAATAACCTTTGGAAAAAAAAAAAAAAAAAATGAATGGAGAAAAGCGGTGCTGGAATTCGTTATCTTCCTGGTTTTATCATAGACATTTTGCTCGTGAAATATTGAGGGTAATTATACGATGGAGAGTCGTGTGTAGGAGGCTCGTGTATGGATGTGATGTTGGCGAGGTTCCGAGAACTGATTTTATTTTAGGCTTTTAGGTTATGCATGTTGATGCTGTGCCTGATTCATATATTTAATGTTTAATGAATGATGATAATTATCTAGCAATAATTAATGATTGTAATGTGAAATATCAATGTTTAATGAAATGATGATAATTATACTAGCAATAATAATGATGGTGATGAGTAATTTCCATAATTGTAATGATCATAACAATGTTGATTATGATAATAATGATGATATTAACAATGTTGAAAATGATAATAATGATGATGATAATAGCAATAATGACGATGATAATAACAAAAATGATAATGATACTATTATTATTACTACTACTACCACAAGAACGACTACTACTACTATTGCTACTACTACTACTACTACTAATGATAATGGTTATACTAGTACTACTGCTGCTAATAATAACGATAATAATGGTAGTATCGAAAACAATAATGGTAATACTGATAAAAATAACAATAGGAATAATTGTAATAATAACTGATGTTTACAATGAAAATAATGAAGCTGATAATAATGAAAATAATAATGATAATGATGGTAATAATGATAAAAATAATGATAACGATAACAGCAATATTAATCATTGTAATAATGATGATAATAATGGTGGTAATAAGGATAGAAATAATGATAATTGTGATAATTATAATGATTATTGTAATAATAATAGCGATAATAATAACAAATGTAAGAATGAAAATAAAAATAACAATGATAATAAAGACAGCAGTAATGATGATGATAATGTCAATAATGACAATGAAAATTGTAATGATAATGAAAATTGTGATAATGAAAAAATATAATAGTAATAAAATGATGATAATAATGATGATGATGAATGATAATTAATGCTACTATAGAATAATGATGATGAATGATGATAATTCTAATCAGAAAAAAACAATAATACAGATAGACAACAACAGCCATAATGGTAATGATAACGATAATAACGATATGAATATTAATGATAATGATGTTAATTCGGTATTGTTGATATCAACAATGATGGTGGGGATTAACAATTGATAGTTAGGATGGTGGTGTTGATTATGATGAGAAGAATGATAATAATGTGATGGTGATGATAATAATGGTGATGATGATGATGGTAATGATGATATTGATGATGGTGATGATAATAATGGTGATAATGATATAATGATGGTGGTGATGATGATGATGGTTATGATGATATTGATATGCTAATGATGATGATGATAATGGATGATGATAATGATGGTAATAATGATGATGATCATGATGATAATGATGGTGGTGATAACGATGATGATGATGATGATAATAGTAATAAAATGATGATAACAATGATGATGGAATAATGAATAATGATGATGATAATAATAATGATGAATAATTATAAAAAATATAGTTATAATAATGAAGATAATAATTATAATGATAATAACAATATCACTGATAGCAACAATGATAATGTTAATGATAATGAAATAATGGCAATATTATTGTAATAACAATATGAAAATAATAACAATTAATGATAATAATGATAACAGTA